AGGTTGTGTGTGTGTGTTTGTGTTCATAAAAAGTTGTGTTTGTCGTCAAGAAGAGGTGTTTGTGTGCATGCAAAGATTAAGATGAAAAAGGGTGTGTGTGAGGATGCAGTCGCTGTAATGCGTTTGTAACCCGAGATTCAGGTGGTGATGCAGGCGGGCGTGCAAATACATGTGTAGAATTTGTTTCCGTGGCAACAGGCATGAGTGAGTCAGTGCTGGTGAGCTTCTATTAGACAGAGAGAGAGAGATGAGGCAGTTTCCATAGCGACTCAGCATCACAGCTGCCTGTGTGTGTGTGAGATTTTGTGTGTCCGTGAAAGGACCTTGGTCTGTGTAACTTTTATTTTATTCTCTTTTGTGTGCCATTTCCTTTTCACATCTTGATCTCTTCCTGTCTCTCTCTCTCTCTCTCTCTCTGACACTCCGGCTATCTCTCTCTTTCTCTCTCATCGGTCTCACTCTTTCTTTTATGATTTCCCCCATCTCTCTCACCCACTCTCTTTCTTTCTCTCAGACCCCCTCCTTCTCTCTCGGGGTAAACAGATGTCGTGGTAGTTATTTATGTTTCTGCATGATCTGGTTTTCATATGAATTATCTACAGCGCTTGCACACCACAGAAGCACTGGCTAACTGGACATCTCCAAATGCCCTCGCACACTCGATCACACTCACACACATTTATACACACACACACAAGCATCTCCAAGAGCATATGTATATATGCATGAGCATGTGCAGCTCAAACACACTGCAAGAGAAAAGCGAAGGGGAACAACCCGTACCAATAAACAGCACATATAGATGTGAATCTAAAAGAGACAGAATATACCAATCTTGAGACTTGAGATGGGGGAGTTTAGATGGGGTCGAAGGACAGAGTAGGTACCACACAAAGGTAGGGACTCTACCAATGCAGTACCTAGAGAGGGATCCAAGACGTGAGATGGGGGAATCGTTCAGTCTGACCTATGTGAGCTTTTGTATTACAAATATACAGAGAGAAACACACACACACAGACTGTACTAACTGATACAGAGATACATCAGAGCAACAGAGTTTTGGAAGAGAAATAGATAGACTGTGCCAGCAGAGTGCAGAAATGATGAGCCAATGCGAGGCAGACCGTGCCAAAAGATCCCAGAGTGTGAGGAGATAATTAAAGATATGGTCAGAAATCATGAACTAACATACTATTCTAACTATTTTTGGTATGACCTACTAAATTTGCCATTATGTGCCATATGCAATTGAACATACATCACTCACAGTACTGTATCCCATAATGCAGTGCGCTCAACCTGACCTTCTATTTTAAGAGTGACAAGTAAACTGGAAGCAATATCAGCCACTGTTTTTTTTTTACCTCCTCTTCCTTGACTCATTTTTTGAAAAGACCATCAAATGGTAACACGCTACTATTTCCACTAATACTGTTCCACAATCTTTTTTTTAGGAAAAGAGTAGGCAGTGTAAAGTGTGTATACACACACACACACACACACACACACACACACAAAAACCCCACTGGGTTATCAGTACACTAAATAAGCCTGAAATGTATTTATGTACCTTATTCTTTTACCAATTACAGATAATGGTTTATTCCTGCTTTCATTTTTAAAATAGTGCAGAACATTTATTTTTCAATCATATTTTTTGATTCAAATGATTTTTTTAAGAAATACTTTTATTCAGAAATTATGGATTAAAAAGGATCAAATATGGATCAAATATGTGACCCTGGACCACAAAACCAGTCATAGGGGTAAATTTTTTTAAATTCAACAATCATATTCAACTCAAAAGCTGAAAAAATAAGCTTTCCATTGATGTATGGTTTGTTAGGATAAGACAATATTTGACCGAGATACAACTATGTGAAAATCTGGAATCTGATTGTGCAAAAAATCGAAATATTTAGACTATTGCCTTTACATTTGTCCAAATGAAGTCCAAAAATTAAGTTTTGTTATATTTACGGTAGAACATTTACAAAATATCTTGATGGAACATGATCTTTACTTAATATCCTAATGGTTTTTGGCATAAAATAAAAATCGATAATTTTGTCCCATACAATGTATTGTTGGCTATTGCTGCAAATGAACCTGTGCTACTTATGACTGGTTTTGTGGTCCAGGGTCACATATAATGTTCATAATTTTACAAAAGATTTATATCTCAAATAAATGTTATTTTTTAACTTTATGTTCATCAAAGAGCAGCACAACTGTTTTCAACATAGATATGCAATAATATTAGCTATTAATAATAGGTAATATACTAATAATATTGGATTATAATCAGAACTAATGGTTTTTGGCATAAAATAAAAATCGATAATTTTGTCCCATACAATGTATTGTTGGCTATTGCTGCAAATGAACCTGTGCTACTTATGACTGGTTTTGTGGTCCAGGGTCACATATAATGTTCATAATTTTACAAAAGATTTATATCTCAAATAAATGTTATTTTTTAACTTTATGTTCATCAAAGAGCAGCACAACTGTTTTCAACATAGATATGCAATAATATTAGCTATTAATAATAGGTAATATACTAATAATATTGGATTATAATCAGAAATGTTTTTGAGCAGCAAATCAGCATATTAGAATGATTTCTAAAGAAAAAATGTGAAAATACTGAAGACTGCTGAAAATTCACCTTGCATCACAGGAATTAATTAAATTTTAAAATATATTTTAAAAGAACACAATTATTTGAAATGGTAATATTATTTCACAATTGTACTGGTTTTACTGTATTTTTTATCAAATATATGCAGCTTTAGTGAGCATTAAAGACTTTCAAAAACATTGCAAAATCTTACCGAGCTCAAACTTTTTAACTGTAGTGTATTATGAACTATATATTTCTTATTATAATTTTCAATTTAATGTGCATGGTTGAAAAATAGCAATATGTTTTGTATACAGTATATGTTTATGAACAAGAGCTCTTAAGCGCATAATATCAGTGTTTCACTAAGCAGATCATTACTGTTTATTTTACAGTGATGCTGCAGCAGTGGTATTATATTATATATGTTAATAATATTTTTTTATTAATTGTTAATGGTTTTAATGTATTTTATGTTTTACACAGATATTAGAGATCGTCGGAAGAAGCCTGTGATGTTGTTTATCCATGGTGGTTCATACATGGAGGGAACAGGAAATATGTTTGATGCAAGCATTCTTGCAGCCTATGGAAACGTAATTGTCGTCACTATGAACTACAGACTGGGCGTTCTGGGTAAGTACAATGGTATAGGAAGTCTTTTAATGCACCATTTGTGTCTAAATGTCTCCACATATGAAAGCACTGAGGACTTTTTCATTATTATTTTTTGCTGTTATTGTTCTGTGATGGTTGTTAATTTATATCTTGTTTATTATATTTAAAGAATAGTTCACCCAAAAATGAAACTTAAGTCATCATTTATTCACCCCGTACTGAAAGATGATAGGCTGTTTTTTAGTATGCTCTGCTCTGTTGTTTTTGAATGGTAAAAGGGACTGTAAAGCTCCAAAATGAAAAAAAAGCACCACAAAAGTTTGCTGAAAATCTACCCTTCCATCATGACCGTCAAATCTCATTCATAAATTTAAAGTGCCCCTGTTATGGGTTATGAAAGGTTCATATTTTGGTTTTGGGAGTCCCCAACAACAAGTTGACATGCATGCTAGGTCAAAAAACACTTTCATTGTCTTATAATATGCATTTATTTTGACCTTACTTGCTCAACGACTCCCAAACGATTCGCTCAACGATTCATTTTTCCAAACCCCTCATTTGCGTGATGCTAATCTGCGATGATTGGTCCGATTGGTCTCATTTTCATTTCATCATGCCTGTACTGCCTGATAAAGCAGCATTTGTGAGAGCAGTGCTGCTTTGTATACAGCGTTACCGAAGAAACCACTATTTTATCGCTCCAAAAGCGCACCTAGTGGCAAAGAATGAATTTGCATTTTCATTCAGACCACCGGAAAGACCAACAAGGGGGCGGGCAATATGCTAAAGTTTCATGTTAACATCAAAATGAAACGGCTTGGAATTCATTTTAAAAACGACTCGTTTCAATGATTCAGAGTCGACTCTTTCTTTTGAGAGACAATAACTTTATACACGATGCACTTTCAGATTTAAAACTTTGCAGGATGTTTTCATTCACTTAGAGCTGTGTTACACACTGCATGAAAGGTAATTTTCAAACATCCATAATAGGGGAACTTTAAATAAAGGGCACTTTCAAGTCATGTTGCACCAGATTTGGCATCAGTGAAGTTGAACGTCAATGATTCTCACACCAAAGCTGCCACAACATGTCTTGACATGCCATTTTTGAATGTAAGCATGTGCAAATGAGATTTGAGTGCTATTGTGTTGCTTCAGAAGACTTGTGGGTGAACTATTCCTTTAAATTTACTATGTGAATGCTTGTGCAGGTTTTTTTTTTTTACATTTATAATATTGACCTTTAAAATAAACTTAATATTTAACTTCACATAATATTTAACTACACATATATGAATTTTAAGTTATTTCAAGGAATAATACAGTACATCAAAAATGACTACTGGTGTCTTGAATTTTAGAAGGAACACTATTCTCAGTTACTTCCTGAATTATTGATTTTTCATCTATAAAGCTGACTTTTTTCAGAAAACCTAAAGAAAGATGTTGAAAAGGTTGTGATGAAAAGAAAGGGAGGAAGTTCTAGTGGCTGTTCAACTGTATAGAGCTTGGTTATTGAATTGTAAAATCTATTTTGTGAATTATATGAAGCCATCAGCGAGATTTTAGAAGAATATTGATTTATTCTCTTCATTTTTTGAGTATTTTTGAGGCATTAGCATCTAGATGTGGTGTTCTTTTCTACTTCAACTTTAACACATTAAAGGGTTAGTTCACCCAAAAATGAAAATTGGCTTGTGTTTTACTCACCCTCGAAGCATCCTAGGTGTACACTCTTAAAAATAAAGGTGCTTCACGATGCCATAGAAGAACCTTTTTGTCTAAATGGTTCCATAAAGAACCTTTAACATCTGAAGAACCTTTCTGTTTCACAAAAGGTTCTTTGGGGCGAAAGAAGGTTCTTCAGATTATAAAAAGGTAAGAAAGAGATGGTTCTTTAAAGAACCTTTGACTGAATGGTTCTTTGTGGAACCAAAAATGGTTCTTCTATGGCATCGCTTGAAGAACCTTTTGAAGCACCTTTATTTTTAAGAGTGTAT